TCTATCTATCTATCTATCTATCTATCTATCTATCTATCTATCTATCTATCTATCTATCTATCTATCTATCTATCTATCTATCTATCTATCTATCATAGATAAACTGTCACATTTCCCTTTCAGCAATGTTGTAAAAGTACAGCAGGTGATAGTATTAAAGAAACATGAGCAGGGTCTCTAGGTAGTCGGGGGGGGGGGAATCCTCTTTGGAAAACCTCAGAAACTGTGCATCTTTTTGCAGATGATGCACTTCTTTTACCTTGGGGATTTTCTGCAGTAAGGCAGGCATTTCTCTGGTCTATTAAGGAAAATAAAAAGCGCAGCTCTTAATTTGCAGGTTTGTCTGCATTACAACCATCACCTATGAGTTTCCATGAGGACAAAAAGCTTAGAGACCTCAAATCAAAGCCACTGCTTCAACACACTAAAAGAGTCATCCTCCCCCCAGCCTACGCAGCCCTGAACAGAGAGCCACATCCATATTAAAACTAACAGTTTAAGCTGGCCATCAATTTCTGCAGGTAATAATAAGGAAAACATAAGAGTGAAAGATGCAAAGGTAGACTATAATGACATCATAGCAGGTCCCCCTCCCTCCCCTCTCATCCCACTTCCATCATTACTTCCCACCCAGCCCATACACCTACAGAAACACACACATTAGCCAAGTTGAGGCCCTGCAGATTCTCACTCACAAAGCTGTCGGTGCCGCCGGGACACAGCACATAGAAAGACACCCCGGGCTCTGCGTAGAAGTCCAGCCTCCTCTCGTCGTTTTCCTCGGCGAAGATCAGGTCGAACGGGTTCCCGGAGCACCACTTCTCCGCCGCCTCCACCAGATGCTTGAACTCCATCCTCTGCTGTCCTGTCTGCCGTGTTCCTGACTCCCCCTCCGCCTGCTCTCTCTCTCTTTAGCCGTCGCGGCGATGATGCTCAAGACGCAAAGATCAGCAGCATCAGCAGCCTCCGCTATGGCGCATCTCCTCTAGCGCAGCGTCTGCATGGCACCGGCGGACAGCAGGGAAGGTTTCTGCGCTCTGCTGCTCTGCACAGGGCCCACCGATGGATGGATGGATGGATGGATGGATGAGCTGATATCTCAGAGACCCATTCCTCTCTTCCTCACCACGTTATGAAATCACACCGTCCGTCTCATGCATGCACACGCAGGAGGGACGCACTGATAAAAATAACGGCGCGATCGCAAACAGCAAAGATTTGCGCACTCCTATAGACTCACATTTCACTGCTACAAATACTAAATATGTAGAAAAAAAGGAATAAGAAAAGCAAAAATGGAAGATGACGCCTTTGGAATAATTTCAAATAAAGAAATTCATCTAAATATTTATTCAAACATGATTAATGATCAATTTGATATGAATAGGCCTTATATAATAAACAAACCAACTATTTCCAATAAGCTATGGGAGCCAGTCGTCCTGGCCCTGGTCCCTGTTATTCACCCTGTAACGCAGCAAAAATATTCAATAGTAGGACGGTTTTCTTCAAATAATTGTACTTTCCTTTGATTTTTAGGAGTGAAGACAATTTGCAGATGGAATAAGATAATTTGTGTTTAAAATAAAACAAAAAACTATGTGCTAAATATCTGATTATCTTGTCTAAGAGCAGAAATATCAATTCCATTGGAAGATCATCTCATTTAAGGGCAAATGCATTTGTTTCAAGAATGCTTTTACTTTTTAGATCTTTTTTTGCAGCTCTGTAAAATACTTCCTTTGAAATGCAATTTATGCAATAACAGAAGAGACTGTTACTGATGTCCCTTGGATCAGTTTAATAGTTTGCCTAGATAATTTACCTTAACAAGTCATCTAATCAAAGCCAGCTTTAAACTTAAGCCACACTAAGATTGAATCACAGTTTTTGCCTGTTAGATCAGAAGTGTGCAACCTTGACTTTATGGCTCATTTAATATACTAAACAATGCACGCTTGCATGGGTTTCTAAATGTTTTACTAATAGAAATGAGAAGAGCATGCCACCCCCTTCACTCAACCTTAAATTGAATCCATTGCTGCTAATTAGCTACATCTAACTAGTAAATAGAGCCAATTTGTTTGCAATAAAATCTCAGTATTAGCCAGGTTGTTTCTGTAAAGGTTATTTTTTTTAGTGGTTCTTCTTATTTTTCATGAAAATCCTTCTCTTAACTACCAGAGCAAAATTTTCAGTCATATTCATTTGGAATTTTTTTCTTTTTAACACAAGGTTTAAAAAGCTTATAAACAACTTTTGGACTTTTTTTTATTTTTAAAACCTAAAACTGTAAATAGAATATTGGTTCTTTAAAAATGACCAAAACAATCCCATAAAGGAAATATGAATTGCCTTTTAACATTAATTTGTGTCTCTAAAGGACTTTATTGGGCTACACTGGTAGAAAATGTCACTGGGATGCTCCCTGGTTTACATTAAGGCATATACCATTCTAAAAATGGCCTAGTCAAAGAACAGACCTAAATTAATTGTGGATTTGTGGCTTGGTGCAGATGCTGATTCAGCCACTTCAATTGCAGTGAACTGTATTTTAGTTACAACCAGAGACAGAAAGGTGCTTATATATAGTGTTGCACTGATGCCATTTTTTGGGCCCGATACCTGACTGTGCAGTATCAGCTGATACCGGTACCATCTGTTTGGAATTGATGTGTGTGTGTGTATAATGAAGAACTGCATTTTGGATGTAAAATAATTGTCATCATGGCTTTGTCAAGCTGCTGCCTACCTTTGTGAAGCAGGAAAAAGACAAATACAAAGCAAATCCAGTAGAACTTTTTATTTCCTACCTGGAATGAGTGACAATAGTTGAATAAACTTTTTGCTCTCAAAATGGTATCGATGCCGTATTTGTTGGTACTCGCCGATATACCACCATTTTATACTGGATCGGGGCCCTGTCCGATACTGGTATCGGTATCGGTGCAACACTACTTATATACATAAAAAAATAAATAAACAAAACACTTTACAGGAATGTGGACTGTTGGAGTCTTTCTTTTTTCTCTCTCTCTCCTCGCTCTCCAGCGTCCTGACCACCAGATGGCAGAGAGTAACCACAGAAACGTGCCTATATCTAGGAACTCCAGCAAACTGCAAATATCTAGGTTCCGCTGTTACTCTTCAAAATAAAAGCACTGCAAGTTTCAGGCGATAATAATTGGCGTCATAGTCTAGTTGAAAGGTAAACAAAAGCAGATGTATTTTCTGTGAATTCATGGTGTCTTTTCATGCTTTAAACAGAGATCAGTAAAATGAGTTATGATTTGTGTTTGATAACATATGTATTATAAAAAATATATCTTTTTAATTTAATCAACATCAATCAGTTTTTTTTCTCTTAATATTTCAAATCATCAATACTATAGGATACAGGGATTATATGGATGGATGGATGGATGGATGGATGGATGGATGGATGGATGGATGGATGGATGGATGGATGGATGGATGGATGGATGGATGGATG